AACGGCGCTTCTTTTCAGGGAGAAGCGTACGGAGAAGGTTGTGTAACGTCCTGTTGAATCTCTCACATTGAGGATTACCCTGAGGGTGGTGCGGTGTTGTCCGGGTCTTTTTCACCCCATACAGTTTGCATAGCTCAGCAATCACTGCACTTTCAAAATTTCTGCCCTGGTCTGAGTGCAGACGTTCTGGTACCCCATATTTCATGAACCACTCTTTCAGTATGATTTTGGCTGTAGTATCTGCCTTTTGATCTCGTGTGGCAAAAACCTGACTGAACTTTGTGAACACATCAGTTATTACAAGAGCGTTTTCACGTCCATCTGTGGCACGTTCAAGTGTGGTGTAGTCAACAGCGACAATTTCCAGTGGGCGAGTAGCCAAGAAGGGAGTTTGGGGTGCCTGAACTCGGGGGTGTGGCATTTTTGTTAACACGCACCTCTGACATTTCTTCACCCGTTGCTCCACATCTTCATACATTCCTCCCCAGAAACATCTCTGCCTCAATAAACTCATTGTCCGCTCAATTCCCTGGTGCCCCATTTGATCATGCACACTTTTGAGCACTTGTTCTTTGAGACAAGCTGGTAATAGCAGCTGATAACACAGCCCAAGATGAGCATCCCCAATCACACGGTACAGAAGTCCATCCTTTTCTCTAATACGGGCCCACTGTTTCAACAGGGACCGCACAGGTTTAGGTAGACCCATTTTCTGTGGGTAACCAGGTTTCTTCTGTCTCCGCCAGAAATCTCCGAAGACACTTAGTGTCTGATCTGATGCCTGGAAGTGCTGAAGCTCTGCGTTAGAATAACCAGGCATGGTTGGGGTGCTGTCCTGCACCGTCTCACCAACCGCTTCCTCATTTGCTTCTGATACATGCAGCAGCCTGACTTCACAAGCTTTGACTCCAGCTGCAACTAAATCTAGGTCTAAATCAGTACCTGCCCTGAACATGTTACATATGGCTATGCAGCCATCATATTCTGCATCCTCGCTGTCGGGTTCTGGCTCATCACCTGATGGCTGCCTGGAAAGGGCATCAGCGGCAGTATTGCAACGACCAGGGCGATACTTGATTTCAAAGTCGAATACAGACAGCTGTGCAACCCATCTCTGCTGAATGGCTCCTAGATTAGCTGTGGACAGGTGGCAGAGGGGGTTGTTATCTGTTATGATTGTGAACTTAGAACCCAGAAGATAGCTCCTAAACTTTTCTGTAACTGCCCACTTTAATGCTAACAGTTCAAGCTTCATGCTGCTGTAGTTCTGATCGTTCTTTTCAGCCCCTCTGAGTCTCCTACTGGCATAAGCTATAACTTTCCTTTTCCCTCCTTGTATCTGATAAAGGACAGCACCTAATCCTAGACTGCTAGCATCTGTCTCAAGTGTGAAGGGAAGGCTAAAGTCAGCGTAGCCTAGCGTGGGGGTACTGGTTAACTTTTCCTTGAGTAGCTCGAAAGCTTGTAAACACTGTGGTGTCCAGGCCGAAATAAAAAGCTGTTTAGCCCTGTACTGACTGCTCTCTTTAATACATACATTCACAACATCATGAAGTGGCCCTGCGATTTGGGAGAAACCCTCAATAAATCTCCTGTAGTAACTACAAAATCCTAAAAAGGACCTCAGCTCTTTCACAGTACTAGGGATGGGCCACTTAGTCACCGCACTTATTTTGTCAGGATCCGCACTAATGCCCTGGGCTGAGACTTCATGACCCAGAAACCTGACTTTAGGCTGGAGGAAGTGGCATTTCTCAACTTTTACCTTAAGCCCAGTCTCCCTTAGTCTTTTCAGGACAGTCTCTAGTCTCACCAGATGATCTTGGAATGTTGCTGAGAACACGAGCAGATCATCCAAATAGATCAACACCATTTGGAAGACCAAGTCACTCATCGTGGCCTGCATGAGACGTTGAAACGTTGCCGGGGCGTTGCATAACCCGAAAGGCATTCTCAAATACTCATACAAGCCAAATGGTGTGGTAAATGCTGTCTTGTCTCTGTCTTTCTCATGCACTGCCACCTGGTGGTAGCCACTTGCAAGATCAATGCTTGAGAAGAACTCTGCACCACTCAGAGCATCCAGGCTTTCCTCAATGCGGGGAAGTGGGAATGCATCGCGTCTGGTCTTTGCATTTAGCCTGCGGTAGTCCACACAGAGTCTAAGGCTTCCATCTGACTTTCGAACCAAAACGACTGGTGAAGCATAAGAGCTTGAGCTCTCTTGAATTACTCCTTTTCGCAGCAGCTCAGAAATGTGTTCCCTGACCTCTTTGTATTGATTAGGTGGAATGCGCCTGTATGGCTGAGAAACGGGTGTCTCATCTGAAACCGGGATTTCATGTTTCACACGATCTGTGTACCCCAAATCTTCGTCGCGAAGTGCAAAGACATCTGCATAGTTTCCCAGGAGAACCTTTACTTCTGCCTNGTCCCCTGGATATCAACCACTTTGTACACGGTTGATGCCCAGGCATCTTGAATTTTATTTCTTCCTGGTGGTCGGTAGCGGAGGTACACTAACTGTCCAATATCAACCGGTGGGCAAAACACTTTTCCTTGTTGCTGAATGACTCTCTCTGCAGCCTTTCATTCCGCATATTCTCTGGCCCTGGCATGTGCGTCCTGGAGACGCTCCTGGTGCACCGCTAACCAGTCCAGTTTGTCATCCTTCACTGGCTCCTGGCCTAACAATGCATCAACTGGCAAGTGTGGGTGGACACCAAACAGTAAGTAATAGGGCGAATACCCTGTGGTTGAATGTGGCGTAACATTGTAAGCATACACCAGCTCTGACAGATGTTCGGGCCAACGCCGCTTCTTTTCAGGGGGAAGCGTACGGAGAAGGTTGTGTAACGTCCTGTTGAATCTCTCACATTGAGGATTACCCTGAGGGTGGTGCGGTGTTGTCCGAGTCTTTTTCACCCCATACAGTTTGCATAGCTCAGCAATCACTGCACTTTCAAAATTTCTGCCCTGGTCTGAGTGCAGACGTTCTGGTACCCCATATTTCATGAACCACTCTTTCAGTATGATTTTGGCTGTAGTATCTGCCTTTTGATCTCGTGTGGCAAAAACCTGACTGAACTTTGTGAACACATCAGTTATTACAAGAGCGTTTTCACGTCCATCTGTGGCACGTTCAAGTGTGGTGTAGTCAACAGCGACAATTTCCAGTGGGCGAGTAGCCAAGAAGGGAGTTTGGGGTGCCTGAACTCGGGGGTGTGGCATTTTTGTTAACACGCACCTCTGACATTTCTTCACCCGTTGCTCCACATCTTCATACATTCCTCCCCAGAAACATCTCTGCCTCAATAAACTCATTGTCCGCTCAATTCCCTGGTGCCCCATTTGATCATGCACACTTTTGAGCACTTGTTCTTTGAGACAAGCTGGTAATAGCAGCTGATGACACTGTCCAAGATGAGCATCCCCAATCACACGGTACAGAAGTCCATCCTTTTCTCTGATACGGGCCCACTGTTTCAACAGGGACCGCACAAGTTTAGGTAGACCCATTTTCTGTGGGTAACCAGGTTTCTTCTGTCTCCGCCAGAAATCTCCGAAGACACTTAGTGTCTGATCTGACGCCTGGAAGTGCTGAAGCTCTGCGTTAGAATAACCAGGCATGGTTGGGGTGCTGTCCTGCACAGTCTCACTGACTGCTTCCTCATTTGCTTCTGATGCATGCAGCAGCCTGACTTCACGAGCTTTGACTCCAGCTGCAACTCAATCTAGGTCTAAATCAGTACCTGCCCTGAACATGTTACATATGGCTATGCAGCCATCATATTCTGCATCCTCGCTGTCGGGTTCTGGCTCATCCCCTGATGGCTGCCTGGAAAGGGCATCGGCGGCAGTATTGCAACGACCAGGGCGATACTTGATTTCAAAGTCGAATACAGACAGCTGTGCAACCCATCTCTGCTGAATGGCTCCTAGATTAGCTGTGGACAGGTGGCACAGGGCGTTGTTATCTGTTATGATTGTGAACTTAGAACCCAGAAGATAACTCCTAAACTTTTCTGTAACTGCCCACTTTAATGCTTTTCAGCCCCTCTGAGTCTTCTACTGGCATAAGCTATAACTTTCCTTTTCCCTCCTTGTGTCTGATAAAGGACAGCACCTAATCCTAGACTGCTAGCATCTGTCTCAAGTGTGAAAGGAAGGCTAAAGTCAGCGTAGCCTAGCGTGGGGGTACTGGTTAACTTTTCCTTGAGTAGCTCGAAAGCTTGTAAACACTGTGGTGTCCAGGCCGAAATAAAAAGCTGTTTAGCCCTGTACTGACTGCTCTCTTTAATACATACATTCACAACATCATGAAGTGGCCCTGCGATTTGGGAGAAACCCTCAATAAATCTCCTGTAGTAACTACAAAATCCTAAAAAGGACCTCAGCTCTTTCACAGTACTAGGGATGGGCCACTTAGTCACCGCACTTATTTTGTCAGGATCCGCACTAATGCCCTGGGCTGAGACTTCATGACCCAGAAACCTGACTTTNAGTTAGTAGAAAAAAATATAATTAAACTGTCTAATTGACCTAATAGGGATGATAAGAGGTCCGTCTTTACTTAAAACACCCAATGTTATAAATGTCGACCTTGTAGCAGGGCCCGAGTACAGAAAGGCACACTGATATAGAATGATAGAGATATGAAAGCTTTAATATTTAAAAAAGAAAAAAGCTTGGAATCAGATTAGTCTGCTCTTGCCTGTGATACATATATTCATTTAATCTGAAATAACCTGAGTTATCCTGTTTGAGTATATCCTTGTTGTTTTTTTTGGAAAATTAACCTTTTCTATTATTTTAATTTTTTGCTTGTGTTTTTTAATGAATAGGAATACTCTGGTTATTGCTTCCTTATCATTTTCACTGGGACATCGTACCCCCAATTTGTCTGTTCATAAACCTTAGTCCAAACATCACTTGATCTTAATCAATTAGAGCATCTTTAGAAAAAATACTGGAAGAGATGTCTTCCAATTGTAATAAATTTGCAGCAATCTCAAAAACCCTAATTTATTGGTGGTCTTTGAAGACATGTGTTTAAATTGCTATGTAAGAAAGACATTGATTTAATGCCATTTGGAAAAATGGTTGAACATAACTAAATGATAAAAAGTAAAGAGCTTTAATATTTTCCAGAGGCACTATAGCTAAAGTACCCGTAAAACACAGCATGAGTTTTAAATGATTTGCTTCTACAGTTGGGGATTTTTTATCTCTGAATGTAAAGTGCAATTTCATTGTCACTTTTTGTTTTGGAGGCCTTCTGGACATGTAAAACCTCAATTGGTAATCAATAGCCTTTTTCCTACTTTTTATACATCAAAGGGCTTCTCTGTAGCCTTTTCTCTGTGTATCCTCTACTTAAAAAAAAGAAGTGTTTGCACAATTCCAACAAAATGTGCGTACTGTCAAGCAGATAAACACTAGAACATACACACAATGTCGACTGGCCTTCCTTCATTATGCCTATCTTACTTTGCCTGAAGAAACAAAAGTAAAGGCGGTGTCAGGGGTGATTTGTGTATACTTGCCCAAGAACCACATAATTGTTTCAGAGACTCTAATCCACGCTCTTGGCAGGAGAAGAAGGCATTTTTCGCAAGAGAAACCATTACAGCCTACTTGTTGAAAAGAAGACTGTCTTGCCCACATTCCTTATGTTTCTCAACAGTTATTAAGATCAGTTTTCCTAAACACCTATCAGAATAAATATACAAGACACCAACAAATAACACTTCCTATCAATCATCTGTCAAATATTGAACAGTCAAAGAGGTCAAGGTAACTGCTTTTTGAAAATGTGTGGAAATGCTTTGACGCACAAAAGCTGTTACTGAATAGTTAAAATATGTATTTCAGATGTCACTGTATTTCAAAAAATAAAATAATTGTAAATCCTTTCAAAAATCTCTTAATGGGAATAAGAAGGTTTAAAAGGGACCGCAGTTACAAACGTAGTCTACATCAAATCTCTTTCAATCAAACCTTTCTTGGCAGTTGATGAAACTATTAATGTAAAAAAGAAACAAGGTGTTGTGGAAACCACCAGTTAAGACCAAAATCTGACATTATGGCCAACACATGGGATGTTGTTTTCCAGTAACACTGAATACACGCTAAACACAATGAAATGTAGTGGTCACAGGATTATGCTATTGTAATGCTTTTATCCAGCACAGGCTTTAAATAAAAGAGGATGGATTGAGGCTTCAAGAGATTTGAACTGGGGAGGGTTAATGTGTACAATTTTGTGTTTCTTTGTGTTTGTGGTGTGATAAAATAGGAACTATTTCAAGGAATGTGGAACCTTTTCAAGACACAGTTAATAAGTGTCTGCATACATTCACAAAGCCAGAATCAGCCATCCTGATACACAAAGACAAATGCACTGACAAACAGCAGACCTCACCAGATCAACTATTCATAAAGAGACATTACTTATTGATGAGATTTCCACTCTGATCCTATGCTTTACACACTAAAAGGCTGAGGTGGTGTTTCTGTTAGGTTTAACGAGACTGTGGCTGTGTCCGAACTTCCACCTTACCCCTAAATCCCTATATAGATTGGGTACTATATAGTGGATTTCATAGTGATTTCATTAACTGACTTTGCGGACAGATGACCACTACTTTCGCTCCCTGTTGGTCTTGGAACTCTGCCTTCACACACAGTACTTGCGCCATCTTTGTTCTTTCTTGTCACCACAACAAACCCCATGATCCTTTGCGAGAAGAGCTCTCTAATTCTGGGGGTGATCACTACTTTTTGGGAAATTCCAAGTCCACTACTTTTTTTATCCAATACACCTTCGGCCATTCATCTAAAATGGCGTAACCACTTTATAGTGCCCTATATAGTGATTAGGGCGGACGTTCCGACACAACCTGTGTCTTCTATTTGCATGTTTCCAAGAATAAACTAACCTTTTTTATTCTCCTCTGGTTCTTTTCTCCAGATGATTCCAAGATTCAAGTATCAAGATCACACCCTGCTTTTAAACTCTAGCCGCAGCACTCTAAGTTTTGGGCCTCATTGCTTCTGGATAAAGACCCGTCCACCACTTACAGAACACCTTTAAATCACAACAAGAACCAAGTCGGCCTGTTCCTGTTTCATGCCCACAAAAACCTTCTAGCAGATATCCCAAAGCTGCTTTGAAAATATATGTGAAACTAAGTTGCTGCATCCTGACCGTCATCATCCCCTTGCTGACCTTACAACACACACCTTTAAGTAATTTTTATAGGAAAGACGCAAACCTTCTACCACTCATTCTAACTGCACATCTCTTCCCAGATTATCCCATGCTGAATCTGATCCAGGATTGCTGTCCTTTTACAAGATTCTGTTATATAAACTCTTTAAATCCTTTTCAGTTGAGTTGTCTTCTGCATGTGGGTTAGATATTTACCTAACACAATGACACTTTTAGTATCTCACCTTGTTCAAATGGCTAATAAAAAAGATGGTTTAAAATTATATGCATTTTTATGCCCTACCATTCATTTAGATGCTGTTGCTTTTCTAAACAGCGGCTAACATTTTTTTTTACTAAGAAAGAATGACTACTGTATGGATTAGTATACACCCTGTGTCATGTCAATCATTCAGTGTTTTTTTCTTTTTTTTTCTTTTTTAAACATTTACAGTTTTAGACTTGTGGTATTTCAATATAAATGTATTTTTTTATAAACGGCATGATGAATTACTGAAGATGATTTCCCTAATTTAACTTATAAAGGAAAATCAATGGCTGTTATTTCCATTAACGATTCGACTGAAACTGATGCATTAAAATACCTTAAGCAAAATACAATTGTTGACAACCAACACCACACTTTTTTGGACCAAAAACTGAAGGTATTTAATGACGATGCTAACTGCATAGCTCTTTTCCCCACGAGTCATTAAAGTCTTATTTACTGCATTCCCTCCCTCTGATTAGCATGCTGTTGATCCATTTAAAAATAATTTTCTGCATTTCATTAAACAGTAAAAGTCTCTACCTGGCTGTTCCACCAGAAAAAAATTATTTATATATATATATATATATATATATATATATATATATATATATATATCACTTGCCATGTTTTCCATGCAGATCTGTCCATGTGGTAGCGCATTACCCCTGGTTGGTGCACAGGGGTGTGAAAGCCCAAAATGATGCGAAAGCTTTACAGGAGGGATGTTACACATTTCTTTAAAGGAAACTTACATTTTGACTTCAAAAGAAGTCTCTTTGTGCCTAATAACCAAACACACATACAAACACACCCATACAGGACACCAATTTAAAGATTAGTGTAAAAAATACATCTGATAATATAACCCTTCTAGAGTATGTGATCTGGTCTGGTTATTCTCCTTAGAGTCAGCACCTTGTTTCTTGATTGGTTAGTTGCTATAATGTGTTACTGTTTAAAACCACTGGTGGGGTTAACTCACTGTTTTTAGAAACCAGCAGAGTNTCTGGATATCCACCTCAGGGCACTGTCCTACAGCATGCTCCAGAAAGTGTTCTTTGGTCAGAGTTTCTTTTGAGCCTTCTGACTTGCCTCGCATTGCCAGGCTCAGAGCAATGGAGGGCTCCCGTTTTCCTGTACCGCAGAACCAGGCATGCCTGGAGACTGATTGGTAGGCTTACGTTGTGTGTTGCAGTATCTGGCCATATGTCCCACCCCCTCACATCGCAGACAAATCGGCTGACCGTCTCTGGTGTATTTGAGTTTAGGTTTAGTCCTAGCACTCCTACTGTCTTCAGAACTGGTAGCCTGTGTAGTGAGCTCTCGAACTGCATTGGTTAATTCTCCTATTGCTTTGCCTTGTTGTGCGATTATTTTAACCACCTCTTGTAGAGTAAAAGCCAGATCTGTCTGTGAATTTATTGTGGAGTCGGTCTTTTCTAAGTTGTCATTTGGTCTGTTACCTACTATATTTCTATTTCTAGCCACATTAGCACTGCGTGGACGGTCCTCCATAGTCCACATTAATGCCTCTTCTCTAACATCAAAGAGATTACAATCAGGTTTCTCTCTAATAAGTCTGCGTAGTTCGCGCCGAAGAGTGGAGTCACGCACGCCTTCAATGAACTGATCGCGGAGTGTTAGCTGCGTGTCGGGTACTACACCAGGAGACTGCTGTAGTGCAGAGTTTAGCAGCTGAGACAGGGCATGTGAATAATCCCGCAGGTCTTCCCCATCTAGTTGCCGACGGGCGTAGAAAGCATGTAAGAGCTGTGGAGTGGTGCGTTTCTCCCTAAATGCCTCCCTCAAGTATGAAAAGAGATCACGGGGTTGTCTCGCTTGCCCACCCATACGCAACTTAACTTCCTCTAAGGCAGAGCCCTTTAGCTGTGAGAGAATTAAATCAGTTTGATCCTCCCCATGCAAACCCCTAGTTCTCATTGCTCTTTCCACCTCATCTATAAACTCATCAACAGTGTAAGCATCTTTTCCCGCTTCTCCACAGAAAGGTACAATTGCCTTTTCTCTTGGGATGTAAACAACAGATCTGGTTTGAACATTACACATATTAGAAATACTTGACATAGCAGCATCATGTTTTCTACTTAGTTCGAGAATCTGTGTTTGCAGCTGCACCAAAGGGTTACCTCCACTGTCAAGCGAAGGGGCAGCTTGGCTGTCTTCATCTGAGCCTCGTCCAGCCCCTGAAGGGCCTGCTCCCTCGTCCTCTTGCGACATGTCTCTGAGTTCTTTCTACCGCAGGATCACGCAGTCACTTTGCGTTGAGATGCAACAGTTCAAATGTCTCTGTCCTGCTTTCTCT